ATGTTGAGCTGTTTCTCGGCTGATAAGGGGTGGGCTCCTTGGTCCTGGGCTAACAGAGTAAGGGTGTATTTGGGCCATTGTTCTCTGTCCAGTGTGGCATTGGTTAGCAGCATGTATGTGTTCCCATTAGTCCTTTTCAGCCTGAAATGGTCCAAATCTTGATTCAGCCAACAGTGGACTAGACCATTCTTTCCTGAGTCCAAGTCATCTGCCATGACAAGAGCAATAAAACTATCCTTGGGAAGAGCTTCAGATACCAGTGACGACTGGGAGGCCCATGTGATGTGGATGCTTGGGGCATTGTCATTGACATCCAGAACCTTGATGAAGACTTTGCAATAGGCTGGGATGGAATTGGGACCCAGGTCTCGTGCCTGGACATCCACCTCATAGGCAGGATTCTTCTCATAGTCTAGGGGTTGACGCAGAGTGACCTGGCCTGTCTTAGCATCGATGCTGAAGGTGTGCAACACCTCCAGAGGTATGTGCTTGCCAAGGAAGAACTCTACCTCCCCATTGGGGCCTTGGTCAGGGTCTGTGGCAGTCAGGTTTATGAGGAAAGTGCCAGGGGCAGCATCTTCTCGAATTTGTAGTTCCAGGGAACTCTCAGCAAACACAGGGCTATTGTCATTGGAATCCAGGACATTGACCTTGATCAAGCTGGTGCCTGACCTGGGGGGGTTCCCACTGTCATAGGCAGTCAACACCAGATCAAAAAATGAGCGGACTTCCCGGTCCAAAGCCTTCACCACCACAAGTTCTGCATGTTTGGTCTCATTAGGCCCCACAATGACATCCAGGGCAAAGTGCTCACTGGGGGCCAGGCTGTAGGAGTACACAGTGTTAGGGCCAGTGTCTGGGTCAAAGGCTCTGTCCAGGGGGATCCGAGTGTGTAGAGAGGCACTCTCAGAGATTTCCAGCTCCTGCTCCCCTTTAGGAAACTGTGGCTGGTGGTCATTGATGTCCACCACTTGGATATCCACATGGATCAGAGCCAGCTCCTCTTTTACAAGCACGTCAAAGGAAACCAGGCAGGGATCCTGCTGCTGGCATAGGTACTCTCTATCCAGCCGCCTCACAGTGCTGATCAAGCCATCCTCAGTGCCCACCAGAATGGGGAGTGCCTGAGGCAGCTGCAAGACCTGGAAGGTAGCTCTCACTGGCCCAGACCTCTCATCCCAAGCCAGTTCCCAGGACAGCTTCCCTATCACTGTGCCAGATGGCACTTCCTCTCTCACTTGGTATTTCACTGTGAGAGTGGCCACCTCCTGACAGTCCCCTGAAAGGAACAAGTAGCTACCTGGCCCCAAAAGCCCCAGCAGAAACTGCAGAAGTGGCTTCATGCTTACCACCGATTCAGAAACCGCTAGAGCTCTTCAATGTCTGGGCAAGTCCTCCAGTGTTTCCTGGATGGCTTAATTAGCCCCGTTCTCCGGCCCCCAGACCGGCAGACACAACCTCGTCCCATAATTAGAAGATGGTGGAACAAATAGGATTCCCAGGCAAGGCCATCTTCATTGGAAGCAATCTGAGAGGTATAAGTACCGATGAAATAAAATCACCAGTCCACAGGAACAGTGATGGGTGAGAGCTGGTCCAAGAGCGACTTGACCCAGAAGAGCAGGATGTGAGGATCTAATTTCCAAATAGTTACTATGGGGGGAAACAGAGAAGCAGCTTTTTCCTATGGAAACCCCACCTACAGGAAAAGGGAGGGCTGTGAATTTCAATGCCAATTAGAGAAAGAGCATTTCCTGTGAAGCTGAGTGGCCTGTCGCTGAGGAGGATGAGGGGAGGATGAGTCCGGGGCCTCCGGGGACAGGCTGGATGGGAAGGTGCTGTCCACACAGCAAGGCTGCTGCTGAGGGTCAAGGGAGCCTCTCCACAGCCAGTGAGCAGAGAACTTGAGCTGCTGCCTGTCTCTTCCCTTCCTCATCTCTGTTTCTGTCTTTTCACCATATTCTTCTACCCACTCTGGTCTTTTCCCTACACTTATTTGTCTCTCAGTCTTAACTTTGCCCTAAATACCCAAGTTTGTCTCTCTAGGAAGCAGCTGTCATTAAGAGCAGCCATCAGAGCTAAACTGCATGGGTTCAAATCCTGACTTTGCCTATTATTAGTAGCTGGACCATTTGGGACCAGTCACTTAACCTCTCTGGACCTCCATTACCTCATTTTCAGAGTGGGCCTGAGGATAAGAATAGCAGACCTCTCAGCAGGAAATTGTGAGGATTAAATGAAATGATGTATGAAGGGCCTTGGCCTAAGCCTGACCCTGAATCAGAAGCAGTGATGTTATTGTTGGGGTCGGTGTTGTCATCTGCACACCTTGCGGCTGCAGATAGCTCTTGCTCTGGCCTGGAGCAGCCCTTGCCCACATTGACCCACAAGCATGCCCATGGCCTTGGCTCCAGAAGCTATGAGGACCTGTCTGACCCAACTTGTAAACCCCCTCTCCCTTCTCTTCCTGCCCTATCCCCGAGGCCTATTGTTCTCTGCATCTGGTCCAGCCTGAGTCCCTGTCTGGGGAACCCCCGGCTTCTGTTTCTCTAGCTTGGAGACTTTTATACATTTCCTGTTCCCACACCTTCCTCTCCCTTTCATCTAAGTCTTTCCCTCCCTTCCTCCAATTCTTCTCTCCCTACTTCTATTCATAACAGAGTCCCATGAAAAGCAATTCCCTTGCTGCTCCCTGGCACAGCCCTAGATGTTTCAAAGTGTGCCTTCCTCACAGAGGTGAGGTCCGGGGAGGAGGTGAGTGGCCAGTTTGCTTGGGTGGCCCTTGAGGTGGCCTTGTTGCCTCTCATTCTTCTCTTCAGTTTATTGCCCCCAATATCCTTCCAGGCTTACACACCATTTCGAGGGGGATTCTAGAGGTTGTAAAGTATTTGAGGGGCTGGGAATTAAGGCCAGCTTCTCCAGATGGGTGTTTGCAATTGGCCCCAGGGCCATAAGTTGTAGCAGTCAGGGCTTGTTGGCATGGAGGCCCACGGCACCAGGACTGGAGGGTCTGAAGAATGGCCATCTGTCTTCCCTCCAGCTCCCTCTGTCTGTCATCCTATATTTTCTTTCGTCCTCTGTTTCCTTTCATCCTATATCTATCCTACATTCCACCCTTTCCCAACCATTTCACTGAAACCACTGAATCATAGCAAGAGGTCTGAATCCAAGGAATGTGAAGCTTGGGTGGCTTTGGGGACCAACAAGCCCTCACAAGCTTTGCAATACTGCACCGATGGCTTGACCTCTGAGGGCCTTAGTCTCCTCTGGAGTGTGAGTGTCACCCATCCCATAAGTTTAAGGTAAAGATAAATGAGACTTGGGCCGGGGATTTAGCTCAGTGGTTTCACCGCCCGGTATGTAAGCGCAAGGACCCGAGTTCGATCCCTGCTACAAAAGAAAAAAAAAAGATGAAACGAGACTTACACATAAAGGGCCCAGTGCAGGTCCTGGCATAGAGAAAGCATGTCAGGACTATGATTTGACCTTTCTTCATCTTCTAGGTAATGCCCCATATGCAAGCAGCAATGATGGCCATGCATTTGCCCTCTCATTTTCTTATTTGCTTTGGCCAGGAGTCATGTTTCCCAGGTTTCCCTCTTCTCAAGTTTGACAAGGGGCTCCCTGTGCTATGAGGGGAGCTTGGTGGCCCCTTGGAGAACAGGGCTGCAGTGGGAGCTCATTGCCCTCTAGTGACAGACAGCGTGACAGCCTCATTGTCTGGTCCTCATTTATCCTCTGTACCAGGCAGGGACCTCTGTACCTAACCCTAACCCTAACCCCAAACCCCTAAGGGGCTTCTGGTCTCAGATGGGGGTGGGGGAAATGAAATGAAAGAAACAAGCCCAGTGCAGCTTCTCTGGCTTCCAGTCTGGAGGTCTGGGAGGCTTCTCCTTGAGGGTGCATGCTGAATCCTGGTGGACATGGAGGAGTCAGCCAGGGAAGAGGCAAAACAGGTGGAGGGAGCAGAATGGGCAAAGGCCTGAGGTGGGTGATCTAGTTCCTTGCAGTCTGGGGAGAAGGAAGGTGGGACTGGGGACAAAACCAGGGGTCATCAGATGATGGCGGGCCTGGCTTCCATGCTAAGAATTTAGAACTTGTCCTGAAGGCCATGCAGGAGCTTTTGAAAGACTCAAAGCAGGCTAGGAGAACACCATCAACATGCCAGGCCTTGCCCTGAGTGTTTTACCTATGTTCTCTTAGAACCAACCCATCAGGTTGAAGAAGCTGAGCCCAGAGGGTAAGTAACTTGTTCAAGATCATGTAGAGTTGCCCGCCGGAAAGCTGTTCAGCTGCGCTCTGGAAAATGGATTGGAAAGAAGCCAATGAGAGGGAGAGAGGCCAGTTGAGCTCTGCAGAGAAGCTTTGATGCAGAAAGCTCTAGTGATGGGAATGTTTTCAGAATGCCATCTGGTGGCCAAAGGCAGAGAAAAGGGCACAGAGGTACAGAAAGTACAGATGGGGGACAGCCACTTAAGCAGGGAGGGTTCATAGACCAGTGCTGTGCAGAAGGATACAACAGAGGGAGTTACACATGGATGACAACAGTTATCTCTTAATGGTAAGCCTAATGTGGACCAGTGCCCCAGAAGGAAAAAAAGGACAGCATGATTTTATTCTTGATAAGACAATGTTATATATGTATGTGTATATGATAATTATATGTAACAAAATGTTACCTTTGTCACATACAATATGTGTGTATATGGATGCATATGTGTTGCGTTGTCTTGACTGGGAACATGGATACAAAAAATGGACTCAACTCAGAAGAAAGTGTGAATTTGGACTTCATGAGTCGTTTTTATTGTTGTGTGTGTGTTTTAGTCAAGTTAAGAAGTTGAGACAGGATTCTGAGACTTCAAAGCTAGAAAACAAGGCACTCGTTTTCTTTTTTTTTTTTACAGGTGATCACCTCTGGGAACAAGGTCTCCATTTAGTCATTTTTCTCTCCTCTCTTCTGGCTACAGGGCTCTGCTGACCTTCAGCTGCCACATGTCACAGGGTAAGTGGAGCTGTCACTAGAGTTTGTCTGGAAAGGCTTCATTTCCCTGAGTTTGAAAGACAAGTTTGAAGGAGGAGAGGTGCTACTCTGAAACAGGTTTAAAACAACTGAGGAGAGCCTCGCACAAGTCCAAAGTTTGTTTTAAAAGAGGCAGAATTGGCATTGGTGCTTTAAGCCCTTTCTCTCACCCCAACCTTCAGATTGCTGACATGCTAATCCTTAGCCATAGGGAAGGACTGAAAGGTGAAGTGGGAAGGATGAGGTCAATGGACCTTTTCAAAAGATCTTGGCTGGTCTCGGACTGGGGATGTGCCTCAGTGCTTGTCTAGCACACAGGAGACCCTGGGTTCCATCCCTAGCAATAAAAAAACAAAAACAAGAAAATGCTTGTAGATTTGAGGTGCCTTGTGGGGTCAGATAAGTAGGATGTGATTCTGTCCCTTGTGGGACTCTTAGACCCCCTGGATAAAGGTTAAGATCACTGTTCCTCTCCTGTGAATGTCCTGCTGGGCTGGCTACCCACTCTCAGGGCTCAGGGGTCATGGGCTGGCTCCTCATGAATCTGCCCAGCAGCTGCCACAGCACCACACCAAGGCAGCCCCAAGAAGCAGCATCCTCAGGATATTTCCAGTCGGGAAGGTGGCAGGACCATCCAAGCTCAGCCTCTTTTTCCAACAAGACTATGTTGATGTTAGAGCCAGTGTGTCTGGGAATCTTGACTGGGACATTTGGCTAAATGCTCTGGGTTACCCGCATAGCACTTTGTGAACTTTTTTGAGACAGGTGACAGATGTCCACTTCCTTGCAATGACATCTCTTTCTTGGCCTGGTGCAGAAAGAAGAACAAAATTCACAAGGAAAAACTTGCCATGAACTTTTAGAACTTTTAGAACTTTTCAAGATATAAAAACACTTTCTGTCTTGGTTAAGAGTGGTAGTTCTCAAAACAGGCCAGGTATCAGAATCACTTGGAAAGCTTTGCAAAATACCAAGCTCAGGGGCTTGAAAACTCACATTCATTCCTTCCTCCTCTGCCAAAGGGCATTCTGAAATGTGCTGTTCAAACCTCTCCAGCTCCTAAAAGGCTTCATCTTTCAGATCATTTGGGTGCAGGGTTGAAGTTAGTTGAATCTTTTTGTTGGAAAGAAGATAACCAGATATACACAATAAAATTAAAAGTAGATGGGAGGAGGGAATGTCGAAAGTTGAAAAAACTATGAAGAAGGGTACACAAGAAAACAACAGAGGCTTTGAAGGAAGTAGAGTGGAGATAAGACTTTTGAATGAGTTGTTGCAAACTATATTCTTCATGACTTTCAACAAATGCAAGAGAAGATTGATATTTTTATTTTTTTTAATTTTATTTTTATTTTTTGGTACTGGGGATCAAACTCAGGTCCTTGCACTTGCGAGGCAGGTGGCAGAACCACTGAGCTAAATCCCCGGCCCCAAGATTGATATTTTTAAAGTTTTACTTTGTGCTTTGGTAACCATAACACAGTCCCCAGACTGGACCATGTGAGTGAGTAGATGAATGTTACCCACACAGCTCTCCCCGCAGCCCTCAAAGGGAAAGGGTGCTATCTCTGTTATACGAATTTAAAGTTGTATATACTATTGCAATTCTGATATGCACCCTATCTCTACCCCAACCTCACTGGGAACCCTGATAAAAACTTCTCAGAAGCACCAGGAACCTTACAAGGGGCCAACTCGAGAGCCAACTCCACAGTGTGGAAAGGAAGCTGGGATGCTTTCCTGCTCAGCATCCTCCTGGTCCCCACCTCTCCCTGACACCTGTGTCATGGTCATCGGAGCTCGGTCCTCACCTGGCTCTCTCTTTGTGTTTCTGCACACTTCTCTGTCTGCTTCAAAGACATCTCCTCTGGTTTTCCTACCTTCTGACTCTCAGGTGTGGGAATGCTCCCCACACCTCAGCTCTCTGCTTACAGTTATTAGCCTAGATAGTGGTTGCCAGATTTGGCAAATAAAAAGACAGGGTGCCCAGTTAAATTTGAATTCTAGAAAAACAATGAAGACCCTTTTGGTATAAGTATTTTTATCTGACCACCCTGTTCAGAAATAACATATGCTTTCAACAGAATTTTCTTTCCTTCCCCCCCTCAGAATTTTAGTTTGCACAGTGAATTTGAAAATGTACCAGTAAACACAAAAATCAAACATATTGACTGGGTGCATCATCTGTGCATGAATATTCAAAAGCTGACTCTGGTGATTGGCCTTGCTATGTACTCAGCATTTCTGGGTCACTCCAGGATTGAACTGTTCTCACACTGAAAGAACCACCCTAGAGGAAGCCTGGATTGCACTCAGTCAAATCATGCGGTCATCCAGCCACTCGCTTATTTGGTTGAATTCAGCATGTTCTTCTCTGTATACAAGGTCAATTTTTTCCACAAGGGAAGGAAGTAGCTCAAGTTGACCCACATTTCCCTTCCTCTAAACCATTGGTTTGGGTTTTTTTTTTCCTCTTCATATAGAATCTAATAAGCCTAATTCTCTCCTTGTTTCAGAAAGGCTCCTACAGGAAGGAAAATGAGTCCTCCCATCGTCACATAAATTCTCATGGGGCTTCCCTCTTCAAGTTTATGACAGTCAGGAGTTGAGCCTGGAGCTCTGAGAGAAACAGCCACACACTGATTTATGATGGCAGCTGCTGCTAAATTTCACCCCTCTTTCCTTCTTACAGAGCCATGTTACCTTGGGGTTACAAAATTCTTTTCACTGTTATTCAGGGGAATAATAATAAAGTGCCAGGTTGCAAGTATAAACATGATCATTCTGTGCCCATTATTGTAAATCAAATTTTACCTTGCATCAGAAGCACAAAAAATATCTTACACTGTCAGCAACCTCAAGCCTGGGTAGGAGTCTGTCTTTAGGTAACCCTGGGATGACCTATGGTATTGTTTGGGCTGCTCTGACCAGGGAAACTGAGCACACAGGTCACCTGGCTATTTCTCCTTACACACCCAACTGACCACTGTCCTTGAGAAAAGTGTCAACTTGGCCCAAGCACACCACTGGGCTCAATGACATGGGCTCAGGACTCCAATTGCCTAGGCTTAAAGTGGACTCTGTGACTTACCATCTGTGTGACAATGGCAGGCCAGTTCATTCACCGTGTTCAGTGTCCTTACCTGTATAAGAAGGAGGGTGATGATGATGAGAACAGCAGCTATGCTGTAAGGTTTTGCTTAGTAAATACACGTTTAGAGGAATATAAATGTTAGCCATTTATAATTGTGCTTCCAGTGTAGTAGTGCCCAGATTTTTTTTTTTTAAAGCATGAAGCCTCAACTTGAAAAACCAACAGCCAATCCAAGGTTTCAGATTCCCATGTTATAATAGATTTTTAAGATCTATATGATGAGCACACTTAAAAGGTATGGTAGAAAACTATGGTTTGTGTTTAAGTTAAAAATTCTTGGGGGGTGGGGATTTAGTTCAGTGGTTTTACTGCCTGCTGCACAAGCACAAGGACCCGAGTTTGATCCCAGGAACCAAAAAAAAAAAATTATTGGGCCGGGGATTTAGCTCAGTGATTCTGCCGCCTGCCTCCCAAACACAAGGAGCTGAGTTCAATCCCCAGTACAAAAAAAGAAAAAAAAAATCTTATTGCAGTAAAAAACACATTGCTATTAATACCCCTCAAAGCATCCCCTCTTATTTTATTTTATTTTTTTCTTTTTTGAGTCAGGGGCTCACTATGTAGCTCAGGATAACCTTGAACTCATTATGTAGCCCAGGCTGGCCTCAAACTTGTGGCAATCCTCCTGTCTCAGCCTCCCTAGTGCTGGGATTACAAGTATGCACCACCATGCCTGGCTGCCCCCTTATTTTAAACACATTTATCCCATTCCTTTTGCCACTTTCTGAAGCAGTCCTGAAAGTCCTTTTTCATGAATATCTTTAGTCTTTTTCTTCTGGCTGCCTGGATGTCCTAAGTCAATTCAAAACATTTGCCTATCATGGTCATTTTAACTTTGGGGAAGAGTCAGAAGTCCCACAGTACCAGATCTGAAGAATAAGGTAGATGAGACCACATTTATTATTTTTACAAGCCTGCCTTTTCATTGGAAGGCACATGGTGCCTTCACTGTATTTTTGACCATCCCTCATAAAAACACTCATAAAGGAGGACTTCCAGACATGCTTCAGAAAGTAGCAAAAACAACTGGATAAGTATGTTTGGAGCAAGGGAGAGTATTATGAGGGAGGTTAATGACAATGTGTCTTTTATAGTAATAAATTTTTTCAAATTTAAACACTATATTTTTCAATCACCCCTTGTACAATGACAAGGAAAAAGGGAGAAGTCAGTGGTATTTCTGTACTGGTTGAGGCTCGCCACCAACCACCCAGTTTTATCCATGAGCTGGCCAGAGCCTGTGTCTCCCCATTGCTACCCCTCTATGTGTCAAGGGCTTGGTTCAGGAGTGCTTGTGAGACATAGCCATTGAGAAAAAGCCTGGCCCGCTGGGAAGGTCTAGAGCTCAGCAGTCTCTGGACACCCACTGGATACCCACGGCAGTTGGAAGCACTGAAGGGAGGCCTGCCAAACTCTGCGGTAACACACCTTACTTTGTAGCTGGCTCCTGCTCTCTTACTCTATTGCCTGGGTCTGGACTTGTGGTCCAGATCACACACTCCATCCTCTCCTCGCCCTCAGCTCCGTCATCTGAGAACAAGGGATGGAGTTGACTCTCTCTCTCTCTCTTCTCATTCTCGCCTATCATTATGGCATGGACTCTAATATTCACTTCCCTAGGGCCTTCCCACTTACTTTTTCAGGTCAGAACTATTTGAATCTCTCTGTCTTTGTTACAGCAAACTCAAATTCTCTTACAGGATTCTGGAGAGGGTTAGACTGATGAGGAACTGGCCCTAACCCTAACCTAACCCCACCACTACAGGACACAATTACTTCATCCTTAGTGCCTCAGTTTCTTCTCCTGTAAGACAGGCATAAAAGTTATCCAAGTATTGGAGTCCCAAGCATTTAAATGAGACAACTCATGTGAAATGCCTAATAATGGTGGGTTGAGCAAAATCTCAATATAAGAGGCTAACCAGGGTGTAAGAAAGCAAAGGCACAGAAGTCTGTTATTTTCTTGGAGTCTAGAGAGAAAAGTTGGCCAGGTATGGTGGCACATGCTTGCAATCCCAGCACTCAGGAGGTTGAGGAAAAAAATCACCTCAAATTAGAGGCCAGCCTGGGGTACACAGTGAGTTCAAGACCAGCCTGAACTACATGGCAAGATCCTGTCTCAAAAAAGCAAAAGGAGAGTGAGAGAGAGAGAGAGAGAGAGAGAGATCAAAGAACTTCTTTATCTAATCCTTTCCTCAAAAACAGACCCTAAAATTTTAATTCACTTTTAACATTCACCAAATTATTAACACTGCTTTGAAATTCTCTCTTCTCTCTGTCCTGTGACCTGTGACATGAGGTCATGACATGATGTCATAATTCACCCCCTGCTCCAACTTTATGAGAATTTTCCGAGCTGGTTCCAGGGCTTCCTCACTTTTTGAGACTGAGAGATTTCTGGCATATGTCTGGCCTTACCTCTTGCACATCCTAAGGCAGGACTGCTATGTATTTTGCTCTTGGTTTTATTCCTTTGGCTAAGCATGAATAATGACATTGATGAATGACTTTGGAGATCCTTCTTCCTTCCTCTCTGCACTTTTAAGGGATATGTTTCTGGCTCTGGGATAGTTTTCTGTTCTGTTACAATTAAGATTTATAATATATACAGTGGGGCACCATGGTGCATGTCTGTAATCCCAGCTACTTGGGAGGCTGAGGGAGGAGGATGGCAAATTCAAGCCCAGCCTGGGCAACTCAGTGAGACCCTGTTCCAAAATAAAAAATAAAAAGGGCTGCGGATGTAATTCAGCGGTAGGGCACTTGGTTAGCATGTGTGAGGCCCTGGGTTCAATTCCTAGTGCCACAAACACACACACAGATTTATAGTACAGAAAATTAGTAACAATTATTGGTATGGAAGGTGGATAAGAGCTTTAGAATCCCGTAGGCTTGGGCAGAATCTTAGCTCTGCAGATTGTGTTTTTGGGGGAAGTAATATACGATGAAGAAGATACAGGCCCAGAAGCATAAAACCAATATTTTTTCCATTTAAATGCTGAAAACAGTGCTTTGTACCTAAGAAAATTTAATTATGATATAACTCACATATAATAAAATTAACCCTTAAAAATATACAATCCAGCAGTATCTAGTATATTTATAAAGTTCCGCAACCATCATTCTCTAATTCCACAAAGTTTTCATCCTTCCCCACAGTATCCATTAATAGTCACTTCCTATTCCTTCCTGCTTCAGCCCCCAGCAACTAATCTACTTTCTGTCTCTATAGATTTGCTTTTTCTGTACATTTAACATAAATGGAAAAATTTAATACGTGGTCTTTTGCTTCTGAAATCGTTCACTTGGCATAATGTTTTCAAGGTTCATCCACGTTGAAACGTGTATCAGTAATTTACTCCTTTTTATTGCTGAATAATACTCCATTGTATGGATATGCCATATTTTGTTCATTCATTCATTGATAAAGGGTTTGGGTTGTTTCTACTTTTTAGCTCTTGTCAATATTGTTGATGTGAATATTCGTGTAAAAGTTTTTGTGCAAACATGTTTTCAATTCACTTGGGTATATCAAAGCATAGAACTGTTGATACTTAACATAACTCTAACTTTTTGAGGACTCATTAAACTTTTTCAAAGTGGCTGTACCATTTTACAATCCAATTAGCAGTATGTGAAGTTTCCAATTTCTTTACTTCCTTACCAATTCTTTCTATTCTCCTACACACACACACACACACGCACACGGGATTGAACCCAAGGCCTTTGCACTAAGCTATATCCTGAAACCTTAAATATTTTAGTTTGAAACAAAGTCTCACCAAGTAGTTGCTGAGTCCCAAGCTGGGCTTGAACTTTTGATCCTCTTGCCTTAGCCTCCCAGAGTAATGGATTATAGGCCTGCACAATCATGCCTAGCCATAGTCTTTTTTACTACAACCATCTTAGTGGGTGTGAAGTGGATTTTTATGGTAATTTTGATTTGCATTTCCTTCATAACTTTTGCTTACAAACCATTTATATATCGTTTTTGAAGAACTATCTAGTCAGATCCTTTGCCTGGTTTTTGTTGAGTTGCAAGAGTCCTTTATAGCTTTTGGACAACAGGTCTTTATTAGGCACATGATTTACAAATATTGTCTATTCTATGGGATGTCTTCACTTTCTTGATAGTGTCTTCTGAGGCACAATTTAAAATTTTTTGATAAATCCAATGTATTCTTTTGTTACTTGTACTTTTAGTGTCGTATTAGAAACTACTGCCTAACCCACTTTCAAGAAGATATTTGTACATTTTCTTCTAAGGAGTTTATAGCTTTTGTTCTCACATTTACATCTTTGATTCACTTTTAGTTAATTTTTGTATTTTGCTGTAAACTCGGGGACATATAATTTTAACTCCTGTTCAGTATCTCAGTAATCATGTGAACTCTGGTCCATTCTTAGTCAATTCAGTCTCAATTTTGTCCTTTGTGAATTGAGAATAACAAATGGTACCTAAATCAAAGTTTTGGTTTAGAGAAAATGTACAAAAAGCACTTAGCGCCTGAAGCACCCCACTGCTCAATAAAGTGGTAGTTAAGAGTTACGACAGGAGCAGCAGGGTGTGTAATTCCAGCACATGGGAGGCAGAGGCAGGGGGATCATTGCAAGTTCGAGGGCAGCCTGGGCTACACAGTGAGTTCAAGGCCGGCCTGAATTACATAGTGAGACCCTGTCGCAAAAAAACAGGAGAAAAAAGCTATGATAGGAGCAATGAGTTAATGCTTTCACAGTGGAGACGCTAGAAGAATGAGCAGCTTTTCTAAGACTGGAGTTGGAGTTGGGGAGAAGCATTGCTTAGCTCACCTGGAGGAAGAGGTCTGGCATGGTTGCCGGAGCCTTTCACCTCTAGGGACTGGTAAAAATTCTAATTGCTGGGGCCCATGTAGAACCACTGAAAGGAGCCCCCTGAGCTTAACGCCTGCACTTGCATGAAATTCTCTAGAAATACACTGAAGCTTGCCGGCCTCACTGGAGGTGACGGTAGTCGCGCCTGCAGCCCCACCCGTGTTCTGCGGAGGGCGCCCCGTAAACCCGGGCCTCACAGCGGCTGCGCAGATGCTTCTCCCCGCCAGCTGCGGCCTGCGCCCAGCTCAGCTGACCGGTGTGAAGACGGAAGAGGCGGTACGCGGGTTGACCCGAGCTCTCTAGGCTGGGCTGGCGAGTTGAGGAACAGGGCCCCGGGGCACTGGCAGAGTGCGGAACTTTCGGGCTTGGCACGGCGGGGCGGCCGGAAGGTATGGCGGGGACCGCCGTGTGGGTGCGCGGGGCAGAGAAAGGCGGCCAGAGCGTGCTTGCCCTGTGGACCCCAGGTTCCAACACCCGGGACCGCTTTCCCCCGGTGCTCTGGGGGACGAGGGAGGTCGAGGTCCTGCTGCTGCGGGACGCCCCGGTCCGGCCACTCCTTACTTAGCTGCAGAGCGCCTCTCTTCCCGCCTGGCGGGTGGCTAGGCCTGGGCCCGCCCCGGCTTTTGGTGAGTCGTACCATCCTCTCTGCACGCCTAGCGGCGGCGTGCTGAACCTCGACTAGGGCTGACCCCAGGCCCGGAGTCCACAGATAGGCCTGGAAGAACAAGTAGGACTTTCCGGGCCACAAGAAACAAACCCTGGTGGAGGCGGGGCTTCCCTCCCTCGTGTAGCTGTTTCCGGTTTGCTACAAACTAATATGAAACTTGAATTACCTCTTGTCTGATGATGCCAGAGTTAAATCTTGGTTCAGTATTAGTGATGAAGAGACCGGGCGTTGTAAATCCAGATTTAGTTATATTTTAGCTATGTGACCTTCAGTCAGAAAGGGTACTTTGAACTCCTTTTTCTCATTTGTGTAATGGACACAACCTGCTTCGTGTGATTGTAGGAATCTAGCAACAGTTAATGCATTGAAAGGGCTTAGCACGAAACCTGACACAACGGTTAAGAGCTCACCAGTTGTTACTGTTGTTAATGTTCTTGTGATGACCCTCACAACATTCTCTTATCTAGCGGGAGGTGGCAGAGAGCTCACTGAACTCTGCTCGTGGTCCCCCATTGTAGCCACTGAAATTTCACCACAGTTCCGTTATCATTTTCCCAGTGTGTAATGGGTGGCACTGCTAGATGCTAAGAATGATACACAGATGACATTTGGTCCCTGTCTTTGAGGAATTAATGCAGGTTAGTAGGAGAGGAAGTGTAAGTTCATAAACTACTGTAATGTGGGTTGTGATAATGTCAGGGAAGTTAAAGTTCAACTGGATTTTAAAGGAAGACGTCTAATTGGGAAAGTGCTAGGAGAAAGAAGAGCAATGGTGGTGAGCTTCAGAGACTGAATGGGTTGAATCAGAAGGAAGTGGAGGTTAGCAATGGAGGAAGTAAGGCACTGGGCCCTCTGGAAGCTTTAGAACCTGGGGTCTGAGGTGTTACCCATCCTGAGGAACTGTTGAAGAGAAACTGCTTGAGTACAGGTTCTCAGCTCTGGCTCCCCATGTGAGCACTGAAAACTACAGGCCTGATTTAATTGCTCTGGGATGTGGCCTGGGAACTGGGATTTTTAAAAGCCTCAGGAGATCCTAATGTGCTAACAAGGTAGAGATGGCTAACCTAAAACCATAAGTTCTATAAATTCAGTGTGTTAAAAGATGCAAAAAGCTTACTCCTGTTATCAACACCATGTGTTTACCACCTGGCAAAAGTGTTGAAGATCAAATAAGGTAATGCGAAAGGATCTAATACAGTACAGGAGAAGTGCCCAATAAATGCAAGTTGATTTTGCATATCATTCTTAGCTTATTTGGGAGTCACATAATCTGAGAATTTAGTTTAAATATTATCGGTTCATATAATATTTTTCCATTTAATTTTCCAAATAATTCATGGAACTTTCCATAACCTGTATGTGGACCACACTTCCCTTCTCTCATGAACCCAACTTTATTTTTTTTCTTTAAATTCTTTTATTAGTACATTGTAGGTATACAGTACATTTACATTTATCATTGGGTACTTGTACCTGTACATGATGTATCTTGGTTCTTATTTTTTCCCCATTCCCTGTCCTCCCTTCACCCCTCTACCATTCCCTATTTACAAAGACTGTTAACATTTTTTCCTTTTCTCATAAATTTTTCTTTCCCTTCTTTCCTTTCCCCTTCCCCTCCCACTTCCCCTACCCCTTTGGACCTTTTCTTCCTATTTCAAATGATCAATTATTCATTTTAATCATTTTAATCCTTATTTATACTTTCAGTTTTTCATGCCACAGAAACTATTCGGTAATTACACATGTGTGTTCTATTTATTTCACTTAAGATTATGGCCTCAGTATGCATCCATTTAGCTATAAATGTCCTTAGTTTCTCATTCTTTATGGCTGAGTAGTACTCCATTTTATAAAAAAACCCACATCTTCCTTATCCAGTTTCCAGTTGATGGGCACTTGGGCTGTTTCCAAGCTTTCTCTATTACAAACTGTGCTGCTGTAAACATGGGTGCACATATATCACTGTGGTATGATTCTTTTAATTCTTTTGGGAAGATACCCAGCAGAGGAATAGCTGGGTTAAATGGGACCTCTCGTTCTAGTTCTTTGAGGTATGTCCATACTGATTTCCACAGTGGTTGCACCAGTCTGCATGAACCCCACTTTAGAAACCTGGGTCTAGCGGGGCATAGTGGCATAGGCCTGTAATCCTGGCACTTGAGAGGCTGAGGTGGGAGGATCGCCACAAGTTCTAGGCCAGCTTGGGCTACATAGTGAGAGACCGACCCTGTCTGCACTTGATCTTAGCCAAAAGGCCGAGAACTGATGTGAGACCCTGTCTGAAAACAAAATAACAAGGGCCAGGGATTTAGCTCAGTGGTTCCACCACCTGCCTTTCCTCGAAAGCGCAAGGTCCTGAGTTCAATCCCCAGTACCAAAAAAAAAAATCTAAAAGCTAAAAAAAAGCAAAACAACAACAACAAAAGTCTGGTTCTAAAGCATTTATAATGAAACTTAAATGTTTGTGTGTGTGTGTGTGTGTGCGCGCGCGCGTGCGTGCGTGTGTTCTTGTTTTGTTTTAAAATATTTTCCTGGGCTGGGGATGTAGCTTACCTAGCTTGCATGAAGCCCTGGGTTCAATCCTGAGCACTACCCCCACTCCCAAAAAGTAAAATATCCTTCTATCAGTTAACCTAACCTTGAGTTTCTCTGGCAAGGTTAATTCATGAGGATGATAGACAAAAAACTGGAGGCACGTGGGCAATGAAAGACTCTTAAGAAGAGAAAAGGAGAAACTTCAGATGTATGTTGCAGGATGTAGGATCCTGTCTTGACATACAACCTTGGTGTTCTCCCTAGGCTGAGGGCAGTCAGATGAGGTCCCTGTCATGACTGGGGAATATGCTCTTTGCCCCTTTAACCACATAACTCGTTCTGTCCTAAGAGAACCATACCCATGATGTGTAGCTGTAGATAAGGATTGGCCAGATGTTAAGATGTGTTTCAGTTCAGCATTGATAATGGAAATTTGGAATTTAAATTTCATATTTCTAACACCATCTTTAATATTTCTTTTCTGCAGATGGCAGGATTTTCATAATATATCTAATATGAGTCTCGCATCTTGGCGTCGTTCTCAGCTCCACTTGCTGGAGAATAAATGGGATTTGCACAAATTACAAACGGAACTGAAATACAGACTGCAGTGTTAATATCCTTTCCTTCTGGTTGTTCTTAACAGGTACTAACTGACCTCAAACAGGACATGTCACTATGTCTTAGAGGTGCAGCTTAAGCAGAGCCATGACATTGCTGGGGGAAAAATAGGTTTTAGAAAATGGAATCATTTTAAATGGATTTGTTTAAATTTTATGTTACCTTTCACAGCAAGAAAACTGTGATACATCCTAACCTTTCGATTTCATACATTTCAATTTTTTAAAAAGTTTGTAGTTGAGGACCAGGTATTTAGCTCAGTGGTTCCGCTGCCTGTCTTGCAAGAGCAAGGTCGCGAGTTCAATCCCCGGTACCAAAAAAAAAAGTTTGTAGTTGACAGGAGAGCAACTGCAGTTATGCGCAACATTTTAATTAACAGAGTGGTAATTTTTTAAATTTCTGTGGATCTTCATTGCATATTTTTCCCTTTAAAAGTAGCTGAAATTGTGCTGTACCATTCAGTCATTGCAATTGAAAAAGCATTGATTTATGCTTTAACTGTAGGGTATTTTGATTGTTAATGTTACCTAAAATAATAGTAACTCTTACAGTTAATGGTTTTGTACATTTGACAAAATCTGGTGTTTTTTCAAAATTTTAATATTACTTTGTTGCTTGTTTAGTTATCTAACTTTCCTATATGGTATCTTGTCTGTAACATCCTCTAAAATAGGATTTTCTCAATTGGGAACAATTTTGCTGCCCATCTAGACATATTTTTTAGTGTCACAACTGTTTACTAGGGGCCCCATTTAGCATTCAGTGAGTACGAGTCAGGAGATGCTGTTAATCATCCTTCTATGCACAGCATAGTTTCCCCACATGTCAGAAATTTAAGATGTATATCAAATTACTTCCTTTTTTTTTTTTTTTTTGCAAATAAGCTACTTAACTAAGTGGACAAGTCAAAGTAATATGTGATTTGACCTCTTTAAAAATTATTTTAAATTGTGCTTTTAAAGAAAATCAATCAGCAATTTAAAGCACCACAACCACTCTTTTTGGAAAAGACCATTACTACTGCAAAGCTAATAGAAAGGTAGGCATGGCTGTTGTTTTTAGTTTAGCAGAAAATTGAGAATATTAATCCCTTGCAGTTGTTAGTGAGGAACATTTGTTTTATATACCATTAAACTTTCCCCAACACTGCATTTTCTATTCTTAACTGATATGAATGATTATTTTCAATTCCTCAGACAAGTAAATGTCGTCAGAAGACCGAGAAGCTCAGGAGGATGAATTGCTGGCGCTGGCAAGTATTTATGATGGAGATGAATTTAGAAAAGCAGAATCTGTCCAAGGTGGAGAAACCAGAATTTATTTGGATTTGCCACAAAATTTCAAGATATTTGTGAGGGGTTAGTTGATAATATTCTCTTACATAGATTTTTCCTAATAAATGTTTTCAGTTCTTTAATGTATATAGATGGTGCTATTACAGATTTTATCTGTGTTTGCTTAAAAAAATTAGAATGAGAGGTAAATAGTTTGCAGTTTAATTCCTCCTTTTAACTACTGAATTGGGGTGTTTTCCTGCATATTTTATGCATCCATTCTTCTAACTAGCAGTTTATCAATAATTAAGAGAGGATAATCAAAGAGAAAACAAAGTACATCTGTGAAAACACTTGGACTGCAAGTACTGTGGTGGTTGTTAATACTATTTGGTTTCCAGAATCATTTCAAATACCATAAACAAGTGGCACATGCTGTTACTCTGTGACCTTTTGCTTCAGCAAAAACAAAACTGCTTTTGATATATTCACAGAAGACCTTGATATACCTTTTTTCAAAATGTTTCTATTCTAGAGGCATTGAGTAAGAACACTGATCATTTAAATGAAACTGAATGTGAGAGTGTTGTGTATTGTATCTTGTCCTCAAGCCTGAGATCATTGTGCTGGACACAAATTTTCCTGGCTATGATTCATGGGTAGTTGGCACATCCTCATCTAAGTAAGTTGTGGTTGGTTGATAGAAGTAAACATCCTTTTTTCTATGCTGTGTCTTTTAATCACCTACTGTAAACCAATAACAAAATAAACATTGTGTATTACTTGGTCATTAGTGTTAGGAATTGTACTGAGGAGTGTATACAAGACTACATTGTGTGTCTTCATTATACATTTCATAGTGCCTTGTAGATTTTTCCAGGGTTAGATTTATTTTCTTAAGGTGGTGGTTATGAAGTCAAAATTAGGGATTAGAAAGTGCTTTGGGGGAGGGTTTTATCCCCTCAACTAAAGCATTAAGTCTTTTTTTGAGAGCATTGCTCATCAGTAATGGACACTCAAGTGTTGACCAACTGATCCATTCTAATCTTTGTTTTTGGTTCAGGCAATTCAAATGAGTGTCTCCAGAATAGTGGCTTTGAATACACCATTTGCTTTCTGCCTCCACTTGTGCTGAACTTTGAACTGCCACCAGATTATCCATCCTCCTCCCCACCTTCATTCACACTTAGTGGCAAATGGCTGTCACCAA